GACCCTGCTACAGAACTGTTTTTTGGCTTTTTATCGGGAAAAACTGATGAAATTGTAGTCCTAAAAATTATCTGAGGAGAATGAAGCTATTTTAACGCGCAAAGAATCCGACAGCACATGAAGGATTTCTCCAAAAACATCTCCTTCAAGGACCAAAATTATTTCGAGTGCTTACCCACATGTCTGTTTCCACAGAGTAAGTGGAGTCTCCCTTCGTTTCGTAAGCGTAGACTCCGAATGATTTTTTCTGGCTCTGAAATTTATCATTACCGATGTCAATTTTCTGCTAATCTTCTATTATTCACATATTTATTACAGAATTTTGAATATCAAAAACAATTCAAAGTAGCCATTGGAGCCAAAAACTAAGTATACTATAATGGGACATGCCAGTCTGTGTTTTTTTATTTCGTTTTGGGCAGATTGATGTCATGTCAAAACTACCACAAATTGCCCAGAGTTTCTGAAACGTCGACTTACCCACAGTCCAATTTACACGGCCTAGGCCTTGAGTTGTATTGCTGCTCTGAAACGCAAACAGTATTACTTTTTAAAAATCTATTCAAAAACTAGGGCACAAAATATTACAAAATGAATTTGACCAAAAAGTATTTTTGTAACTTATTTTTACAAAATATAAGAAATTGTTCAAACTTACGACATTTTGCAATTTTCCGGTCCGTTTTAGTGACATCGAAGCCACTTCCGAGGAAAAATACTGAGACTAAAATACTGATTAGCAAAAGCTTAGACATTTAACTAATTAGTTGTGTTTATCTAGTTTGCTCAAAGCAAAAATCAAATTAAGAGCCTTGGTCGCGGTGCTGACTTTATGTTTTAACTTTCAATTTCGAGCACAAGGGTTTTGGTCGAGCACAGATCAAAAACACACCTCGAGCAGAGTAGAAACATGGCGGATTTTGGTCGAGACGATTGATACATAACGAGAACAACTCGACCCAGGAGTCTGCCAAATTAATCAAAACGGCGCCTCACTTTGATGTGGGTGCCAATAGTTCTCTTGTCTTTTTGATTAGGAATTGCACTGTTTGAAGAAGTATCTAGCTACTAGTGCACAGTTTTAAGAGCACACTCGTTAGCTTTTGTAAATAAACAATACTAGCAAGCCCACCTCCAATAATCAATTGGCTCGCAAAAAATTAGTTGTTGCTCTGATCAAGCTATCCGAGCAATGAAGTTTTGAACAACTCAAGTTAAGCCATACTCGTGAATCAGTTTGAAAAACTTTAGGTTTCATAGTACGAATCAGTTCCCGATTTTTTTTTAGCAAGCTACTCAAGCTACGAAACTTTGAAATATTTAAAAATCTTTCATAAAGCAAATCAGATAGCAAAACTTCAGGTTTTTTTTATAGAAGCTATTCAAGCGATAAAACATTGAAACATTTCAAGTTGCTTCACCGACCGAACTGGTTCGCAAAAGATTCAACTCTTTATATGCAGGCTATTTTAGCCATGAAACTTTTGAACATTTCAAAGTTTTTGCGTATATTAATTTGATTCGCGAAAAGTAATTCTTGGCAAACTATTATTGCTTTGAAATTTTGTATTTTTTCAAGGTATTCCATTGACTGAATCTGTTCGCGAAAACTTTGAACTTTTCTAATCACGCTTTTCAAGCTATGAAACTTTAAAAACATCCAAGTTAGTTCAAAAAGCGAATCAGATGTCAAACTGTTTTTCTGTTAGAGCCTTTCATGCATGGAAGCTTTGAAATATTTCAAGTTATTTCATACACCAAATCAGTTTGCGAAAAGTTCAAGTTTCTCTATGGAAGCAACATAAGCCATTAAACTTGAAAGAGTTCAAGTTGTTTCATAGACGGATTTAGTTAGCAAAAAGTTTGAGTTTTTCTAAGCTAGCTGTTAGAGCTATGTAATTTTTTCAGGTTGCTTAGAGCTATGAACTTTTTCAAGTTACTTCGTAGACCGAATCGGCTCGCAAAATTTTAAGTTTTTCCAAACAAACTATTCAAGCTATGAAACTCTGAACTTTTCCAAGTTATTTCGTAGACTGAGCCGGCTGGCGAAAAAATTAAACTTTTTTAAGAAAGCTTTTTAAGCTAGAAATTTTGAAATAATTCAAGCTGTTTCCTTAACCTAATCAGTTTGCGACAAGCATAGTTTTCTAAGCAAGCTATAAGACTTAGCAAGCTATAGATCGTTTTTCCAAGTTATGGCGTAGACTGAATCGATTCGCGAAATTTAAATCTTTCTAAGCAAGCTATTGGCGCTATGCAACTTTGAAAACTTTAATTTTTCCGAAGCAAGCTATTTGAAACTTTGAGCCATTTCAAGTTATTTCGTGGACCGAATGGGCTCGCTAAAACTTTCAGTTTTGCCAGACTACCTATTCAAGCTATGAAACTTTGAAATATTTGAACTTATTGCGTGGATCAAATCAGCTCGCGAACTGTTTAAGCTTCTGTAAGCAAACTTTATAAGCCATGAAACGTTGACATATTTCACATTTTTTCATAGACCGAATCGGTTTGCAAAAAGTTTCTTTCATGGGTGTTGCTGTTTTTAGTTGACTCGTTTCAGATTCGCAAAATTTTGGAAAAAAATAGGGAGGTACTGTCTAGCATTGAAGTTGGATCGAGTTCATCTTCCTCTGATGGTTGCTCTGAATGATTCTTAAATGTTGTGCTTGATAGAAAAATTGAAAGTTGCGCCGATAGCGCAATAAAACTTTCATTTAATATATAAGTTACCACAACACGATTCCTTTTCAAATCATCAATAGTTTGTGAACACCTAAGATATGCATTTTCATTTTAGTGTCATAGGCAAGAGAATGCGCAGGCAAGTTTTGAACGAAATTTTTTTTTGGTATTAAAACAACAGTGTCAATCTGTATGTAACTACTAATGCTTGTATATCCAGGCGCAAAATCTGAAAAAGGGCTTCGAGATCAACATTATAAGGTTCACTAGACCTTGACATTACCATGTTTTTAACAAACAGCTTTAAAATTTAGACAAATGCTACCGCAAATACTGCGCTAGGTGATCAAAGAATGTTCTATTTGGAAATCTAGCTTATTTTCTTCTTTTTGTATCGCTAAATTATTTATTAGTTGAAACCTCATCACATTCTAATATTTATCACCTTTTAAAATGCTTCGTTAACAGCTCACACGCAGTTTAAAGTTGATCTCATAACTAGCTATCGCTTTCAAATTAATACACAAAATGAATGACGCACAATTGTTCAGGTTTCTTTAAGCTTGAATATTTATGACGTATTTTGGAAAAAAAACTTCAAGTTCTATGAAAAAAATTGAAAGCATTCTGCAAACTAGACTTTATCATTCTTCAGTTTACTTGTTTACTTCTTTGGGATGATCCGTCTTCAGACAGTTCGAACCATTGTCACATTTTACAAAATTTGCAAAAAAAAACTTAAAAATGTTTAGGGTTAATTTTTTTTGCTTGCCATGTGAATTTTCGCTGGATGAAATAACAGATTCGGTGTCCTACATTTTAATAACAATAACGTTAATTTTTCTCTTCCAACCAAATTAAATACCCGACAATTTAGCTCCATAATTTAACACAAATCCTTATCTCAACTCCGGCCACAACGAAGTTGATCCTGCAAGTAATGCACGCATCACAATGAAAATATAATTTTATGTCAATTGTTTTTGCTAAAACGAGGCTTGTTAATTTCTCATTTAGCATGACAGTGAATTAAATGATCAAGAGAGAATAATTTTGTGTGATGATATCAAAAAGCTGAGAATTATAGAATAATCACATTTTTGTTAAGCAATGGAACCCTTAGATTTACTCTTAAGGGGTCCTATCAGCTATATCCAACTCATTTTAGTATATCTCGTATCGCAACGTTTTGCAAAAAAAGTCTTTTTTCCCCAACAAAACTACAAAAAAACACGATCGGTTTTTGCAGGCCCTAAATGATTTAGTACCAAACTGTGGCCTGGAAAAACTTGATCAAATCTCGACCAAGCTGTTTTTCAGTCGTTTCAGAAGGAATTTCACCAAATAACGTCTCTTATTCTCCACAGAATTAATGAAAAGATGATGAATTAGTTTTTGAAGGGACCAAAGAAACAAATCACTTCCCAGCGTTTGGCCTAAAAATGCGGCGTTCCCTTGCACTTGAAACAAAAGAAAAAGTCGGCGTGTGCAATGATATGATCGCTCCTGAAAAAAAGAAAAAATTCAGCAGAAACTGTTGAGAATCCAGAAAATTCAAAATTTTTTTGAAAAACTGTCTCTAGCTTAACTCTACTTTAATAAAAGCACGGTGCCAAACTTAAAGTTTTTCTTCCAACCCTCCATTTGGAACCAGCGAGATGCGGCCATGAGTGAAAATGCTGGGCCATCAAATGCTGTCAAAGGATGACCTTGAGTCATCCGATCTAACTTCAGCGGAGCCCACACTAAACTGTGGAAAATAATGACAGCTTGCAAAAGGAGGCCATCGAACAAACACTCACTTTTGTCGCTGCATCGATTGGTCATAAATTCACAAAGAAGAAACGTACCGGATTTTAATTGGAAGAGCTCAAAACGTCATCTCTGTCTGCGAAGACAAAACTTATCTGTAAATTTTCAAAACATCATCTAGTTTGTGTTATTCTTGTTACTTTTATTTTATCCTTGTTCGACTCATTCGTACTTTAAAATAAAAATGTTGTCCATTTAAGTTTTGTCAGTTTTTTGAAATAAGGTTTTTTTTGCAAAATCTCGCAAAACAGACTACAGGCAAAAATTTGCTAGCAACAATTTCTCCTGCCAAAAAATGATTGTGGTTTGAGCATTTTACGATTTTGCACAGCTGCTGGTATTTTTTAGCTTAACTGTAGCCTGACTTGAAGTCCGTTTACGATCGAGTACTGGCAGCAAGCTTTAATCACTTAATCGAAACAAAAATAGCACAGCTCGACTCGGATAAGACATATCATCCAATTTGTTGAACATCATTTAAGCTCATTCAAATTTAAAAACAGTAAGCTTCTCGGGAAGTTTATTTTAAATAAGTTAAGTTTTTAATCTAAATCATTGTATAATCTTATTCATCAAATTATCTTCAATCAACAAAAATAAGCGATAATAAATTTCGAAATTAATTGACTTCCAGTTCTATTTACGGTTAACACAAAATTATTTCGTTTTTTTGCCAAATTTTGTTTCATTTCAAGCTCCAATTGATTCTTCTACTTTTGATCTCCCTGCTGGTGCTGGTGCTTCGGCTGTTTGGTGTAGTTGTCGTCGTAGATGAGACTGCCGTTGCTGTCCAGCCACTCGGGGTTGAAGTAGGTACCATTGTTTCCATTCACCTCCACCAGTATCTATACGCACACATTTTACTGCAAAATTTTTCACAAGCTAAAACCACCAAATTTGTATCGGATGAACCGCGGACACCATGGATTTTTTTTTCTGCCATGACAAACATTTGCTTCTGCAACACTGGCCACCAATGTCTGGCGAAAATTGGTCACGGATTTCTCAGTATTATTGGCTTCTATGTTGTTATAAATTGATCACAGAATCCGCAACTAACGGAAACTTCAAAGAATTAAGCTTCTATTACGGATTCCGGCGCACCAAAATCACAGTTCCAAAACCCTAATTCCGCAAAATCCCAAACTACACACCTAGGGCACCTCTTATCATAATTAGTTCGACCCCCTCACCCGCCAGGGGGCCTCCGTTAGCACTATTTTACGACATTATTTTAATGCTGACCAACTCTGAAGTTTTCAAAACGCACCAATAGACAATTCTTTTGGTATGGATAATCAATTGGTTGGTAGAGCGCTCTGAAACAAAAATTAATTTTCTTGCAAAACCTTCAAATATTTACCCAAAAACGACATTTTGGCACAACTTATCAAGAAATCTGAGCTTTTAGCTAACATAGGGTCTTTTAGTAGCAATAGAAAGCTTGCCAAATCAATTTCCGTTATCTAAAAAGGTCTACAAAGCAGTTTTCATTTTTCTAAGGAAAAAGTCTGCTCATATCTCCATGCAAAAATCTTAAAAGCTCCCCCCTGGGTCCAAACATTTATTTTATTCTCATATAAAAATTAGCCTCATAGAGCTTCAAAGCTTTTTAAAAACCGTAACTTACGCTGACCTCAGGTCTTAATAACAATTAATTTTATTTCGCAGTTTTCTTGAATATAATGCGGCTGAACACTTGTTGAATGGCCAAATTATCAAAAGTCTTAATGAGTGCTAACAAACGTCTTAACAAAAGTCATAATAGGTTCAAACCGGGAAAAACGGGATCATCTCACCCATGCAGCTTTCCAACCGTCTGTTCCGTGGATGGTTACTTTCAGTTTGTCAAATATCTCCGTTGAGCTCTTCATGCAGGCGTTACAGGGCATAGACAGGTAGTACGTGTCAATTCTAAACGGCAAAAACTGAACCTGAATCCAATTTGAATTAAACCCAACAAGTTTCCCCATTTCACTGTCGTTAATAAATTTCGAGGGCCTTAATTATAAGTTATCACCAGCTCGAAACGAATAAAGGTAGCTCAGATCTTCTTACATAGTTTTGAATCCATCGAAAAACCTTTAGGATTTTGTTCGATTTTCGATTAACCCAGTGAGGTTCATAATCAGAATAATCAGCCCAGTTAATTTAGAGTTGTCAAAGAGACAGATAAATCTACAATAAAAATCACCAACATACGAATTTTCACCTTTTTAATAGATTAAGACCATTTATCCACGAGGGATAGGACCAACATACGAGCTGTACAGCTCATCACGGCGAACCGCTGTTGTGCCCCTGTTTAAGAACTACCAGCAATTTTGTTGGTTATTTTTCTGGGCTGGGTAATGTTGCTTCACCCTCAAGCTACAAGCACTGTGGTTGTGATCTTCATAAATTTTTCACAGGGTTCCGCGCTGGTATTTCATCTCTATTTCTGAAGCTATGCACGTCCCCTTTGGCAATAGGGGGAGTATACTTAGTGAGATCCGTTATTCTAAATTCTCACTTTCCTCGCTGTCTGTCGTTGTAGTCTGGCAGGTCCAGTTTGCCAATGTCGCAGATCTGTCCCCCCAAAGTGTAGGCCTCGTAATAGAAGTCGGAGTTGGATCCTGCCTCGTACACGTCCTGCGTCTGTTCACTCACCAGGTTGATCACTATACTTACATAACACTTACAATTATGTCACAACCATGAATACAAATAAATAGGTCACAAGGTAGTTCCCAAATGGCTTCATTCCCAAATGGCATAAAAACAAATGATTGTGAAAAAAATCTAGCAAAACTTGCAAAAATTAAAACCAATTCATTTATTTCTTTTGTTAAATATTCTGGTTATTTTATTTTAAACAGAATTTAGATCTTACTGCCATTTTTAAAAAAATAGATTATATATGCTATTTGGGAGTTTTACAAATTTTATCCCATTTGGGATATTTTTGATGTTTATGCCATTTGGGAATTTTGAAATTTTTATGCCATTTGGGAATTATGCAGATTACGCCTCAAACGGCATAAGTCCCAGCATAAAAATTTAAAAATTCCCATACGGCATAAAAATTGTGAAATTCCCAAAAGGCAAAAATAATCAAACTTTTTAAGGTGGCAGTACCATCTGACTTAACTTGAACTTAAAATAACCGGAAATATCACCCAAAAAAAAAACAAATAAATTTGCTTTCTTTTTTACAAGTTTTGGCAGTTTTCTGAAAGATTATCCCAATATTTTTCGATACCATGCCATTGAGCTTCGAATCTCTGTTTCACGTTGCTAATCATTGCGTTTAGGTTTCGCCAATTTTTTTTCGTTGCGGAAAAACTTCGATTTTTTAAATACAAATATCCATCATAAAACAAATTGCAACCCCGTCTCAAATTTTCAACTTGACTTCTGTTAGAATCTGGTAGTTCTGCTGGAATTATTTGTTGAAGAGTGATTAATGACTTATTGAGAAGTGAAAAAAAGGCGGAAAAACTGTCGTGAAAGCTCTAACATTTCGCGCCTTAAAGTTTCCACACATTTTTTGAAATTGCTATTGCCATTAGGGAAATAAATTGTTTTTACGCCATTTGAGAGTTATGCTTTTTGGAAGCAACCGTTTTATCTATGGCTAATTAAATTATGTTTTTTTTCGGCCAAATGATGTGCTTCAAAATTCTTCAAAAAAGGGTTTGCGCAAGACAGGCGTTGAGTTTTTGCTTTTTTTCGCGATTTTTGTCATTTAATGAGCTATTTTAGTCATAATAGCAGTAAGATCACAAAAATATGTCACTTACGACTAGGACATTATTAAAATTTAAACCAAAACTGCGAAAACAATTTTGGTTTGATAATTAATGGGAACTTTAGAATTCGACGAAAGATTTTTCTATTTAAAATTGCGAATAACTAATTTTTTTCTATTTTTGCTCATAAAATTTTTCTTTCAATTGTAAAATTTAATATATCATCATCATCATCATCATTATCATCATCATCATCATCATCATCATAATAATCATCATCATCATCATGATCATCATAATAATCAGCATCATCATCATGATCATCATCATCATCATCCTCATCATCATCATCATCATCATCATCATCATCATCAACATCATCATCATCATCATCATCATCATCATCATCATCATAATCAGTGTTTTGATTTATCCACCACTTGTCGAACTCCTAATCTGGGCCTGGCTGGGTTTACCTTTTTGAACCCTAAGATAGGTTTAGTGGATGAAAACTGCTGCTCTGGAAAAATTGACATGTTATTTTGATAGTAAGTCCTCAACGTTGATCTAGGCCTGGTGTTTCATGGTGTTAGTTTCACTCTTATTATCTACAGTCTGATTAAATTCTTTAAAACCCTTTAAAACCCTGATCCTTACCTGGACGTGGTTACATTCTAAATAATCGTAAGTTTTCATCCATTTACCGGCAAGCATTTTTAAAATCAGGCGCTAGCTCCCTTATATGAGACGCGTTAGAGTGGAGTCCATCCTCACTCATGAGTTTACTAAACCTGAAATGACGATGGCTGAAATATGGCACTTTAAGCTCTCTGGCGATATTCGAGAAGCAGTCATTGGCTCTACTGATCGTTGCGTGTTTTTCTTTTCTACCGATAAGTTTCATGATTCGAACCTTGAATTCATTGAACTTTAGGGTTCTGATTAAATAATACATTTCATCAGAAACCAATACAGGGCTCATCAACAGTTTTGACGATTTATCGAGCAGATTGTTCGTTCCCAAAACAACTTCGTTTTGAATGTTACTGAGCTTCAATTCATGCGTGAAGTTTTTGGTGCACGTGATGGCAATAGTGCCAACCGGGCGAGAGATAGTGATAGTATTGCGCAAATAAACACCCTAAACAAGAGAGGAACCAAGATTTCAAATTCGCCATTTCTTGGAAAATGAGAGCTCGATAATTTCGCGGTATGGTTTTTGATTCTTTGAAAGCATACAATTTCGTTTGCGTAGCTCAAAATTTTTCGTTTTAATTATCCCGGCTTTTCTGATTTTCATTCTAATCAGATCTGAAAACTAGTCTAGGTGATAAGCGGCTCGGAAAAAATGAGTGTTAAGCGTCCGTCTAAACCTTGTTTTATCTCGGTTCTCACGTAGCTGAACAGTTAGTTTCTTCCACTGACGCGGCCCGCTTACTGAATTTGCTCTATTTCTGAAGGCGTTTTTGTGTTTCCTGACATTAATTTTGCAGTTATTGAATTTTCGTACGTCTCCTGATTGTTTAAGATTATAATGTTTTTCAAATAGCCTGGAACTGGTAAACCGTGCACAATTTTATGGACAAATACTAGTAATTTGAAGGTAATCCTTTCTACAACGGGCAGCCAGTGCAAACTGTCGTTTAATATAGGATTTTTAAAATCACTTACAGCAGGTGCCATTGTAGCAATCCTTTTCTTTCGTCATCAGTGCTCTCCCGCAGATATGAAACGCTCCCGGTCCATCGGTTCTCCTCTCCTCACAACTTCCATCGTCAGTCTGTTCATACCACACACACTCTCTTCTGGAGGTGGTGGTTCCAGTGCCACAGAAGCAAGGACAGGGGTCGTCCTGCCAGTCGCTCAAGTGGGCACGCCCTGTTTGAAGTCATAGTTTTATAAATAAGGATTTAAGGAGAAGTTGTCCTGGAAATTCCCCGGGCTTGAGAGGAAGGGGGTGAATCACCCGGCAGATTTTTGAAAAAGTTAGTCGAAAAAATTAATTTTCCAAGCATTCCATTCCCAAAATATTAGAAATACACCATTTTACATTTAAAGGATTTGCTATCATCCAAACGATATATGACAAAATTTCATATCAAAACTAAATATCCAAGCTCGACCGAAATGCCGATTCCAGGGCAGATCCAATCAAACAAGAATCGTGCTACAGATTTTGGGGGCTGCTATAGAACTTGCTTATATTATAAATTATGAGGTAACTATCATTATTGACCTTATTACAAAACTACAATCCAAAAAAGGAAAATGTTGAAAACATAGCTCGATTACTGGTAAAATTAAAGATCGTGGCTAATTTTGCATGGAAATTGATTCAAATAGCTCTCAATGGACAATGGGAGTGATATGGTTCCACTAAACTAATCATTGTAAGTGCGGGAAAAAAATAGGAAACAGTAAACTGACTCTCGCATTGGGTAGTTTCACCAAGCTCGTTTGAATTGTCCACGGAATCTAGAAGCAAAAAAAAATGTTTCAAATATTTATTCAACGGAAGGTTGCAATGTTTTTTTTTCATAATGGAGAAAACTTACCTCGTCCCAGCTTGAATGAATCTCCAGGAAAAACAAATAAAATTGATGCGAAAAATATTTTTAGCATGTTAACGTTATTCGGCGATTCAAATGAATGAGGAGTTGACCGTCTATAAGTAACTTTCTATTCGCTTAAAATGAAACTTTATGTTTTGTTTGTTAGATGTTTGCGAAGTTTTTGACATTCAACTAATGTCGGAATGTTGTGGTAGGCATTGATTGTTGACAAGTTGATTGTGAAAACAAAAGCAGACAATGAGTATAACGAATATTTGACGACGTCTAAATTCTTACCACTTATCAGCAAGGTCCCATGAGTTAGTATTTTCGGTTCAGATTAATGACAAATACCGAGACACATCAACTTGAGCACATTGCAAGAAGATTCAAAAAAGTTGCTCATGGAAGGTTTTCAATTGTATAAGAAAGCAAGGGCAGAAAGAAAACCGAAGCTAAACAGTGCACTTGGATAGGCGCACAATTTTGTGTCTGTATGTTCTCGAATTACACAAAAAAAACTCTAAAAATAATTGAAAATTTCCGTGGATTCCTCGTAAAAACACATGTAAAGTAAAATTTGTCGGCACATTCAACTCGTTGCGGATTCCGCGACGAGCGAATATAGCTAGTAACTTTGGATTCCGGAACTGTAAGTAGATTCCGCAATATTAAGCGCAAACCGCAACTTTTGTGAGCGGAATCCGCAAATATAGGCATATTGCGCAAATTGTAATTGGATCCCGCAATTTTGTTTATTACTGAACTTGCATACTCAACATATTTATTATCTTTCATCTATAGCAATGTGAGATGTCAGCGGAATCCAGGAACAAATCTTAAAACATTGGAATTGTAAAATGTTCCATAATTTGAGTGGTCTCTTAGAAAACTTTCGTGGATTCCGCAAACAAACACCTGTACTGTTATCGGCACACTTGTATCGTTGCGGATTCCGCAACAAGAAATATAGCTAGTAGTTCTGGATTCCGGAACTGTAAGCAGATTCCGCAATGGTAAGCGCAAACCGCAAATGTAAGTGGAATCCGCATTTTTTGAGACCAGATTTCGCAAATTTAGGCGGATTGCACAAAATGTAAATAGATTTCGCAACCTTATTTATCACTGAACTTGCATACTCAACGGTACGAAAGTAACGGAATATTTGTGCTCGGGGTGGGTTTTTTTTTCTTCAGACAAATTTCGACTTTTCAACTAGCCATTTTTGACAGAATTTTTTTATATCATTCAAAAGATATTGTTGTCCTGAGCTTAAATTTGGAAAGATATTTCACCTGTGATCATTTTTCCTAGAGTTATGAGGGTTTAAAGATTGCCATTTTGGTCATTTGGAGCAATTTGGGACAATTAACGAGCGATATAATTCGCGCTATTAACGCGTAGGCGGAGATTTAATCCGTCTTATAAATCATTCCAAATTGGTTGAACGAAGCTTATATGTCATAATTGATTTGTTACAAGGAACAAAATCTATCTTTTTGTACTTTATATGGCGTGTGGGGGGATGCTTTTCTTAAAAACTTTCAAATTTTAGAAAAAAAAGTTTTCATTTTATTTTATTTCATTAAATTTTTTATGCTATTACTGCTGCTCCATAAACCTTAAAAGGCAATCGGAACATTCAGGGCTTCGCCCTGATACAAGCAGTCTTGTTTTCTTTTATTCTTTTATCGATAGCAATGTGGGATGTCAACGGAATCCAGAAACATATCTTAAAAAATTGGAATTGTAGAGAAGTTATTTTTTTTTAGATTGTTTAAAACACAATCACCAAAGGCCTTTTTTATTTTAGATATCATCATCAGTGTTTAAATTGAGATGGTTCTGTATTTAGTTCAGAGCTTAGTTTTGGCTCAGAAATCATCATCAGCAATTGAGATGGATATTATCGGGATGAAAAGACGACTCGATCAACTGAATTGAAATATTTCATTTTTCTTAAAATTGAAAAAAAAAATTGAATACACTATAAGAGAAACACAGTAAGAGAATTTTGCTGAGCAATGTAGTCAATTTGATTGAAAACAAAATCAGAATGAAAAATCAGTTGTTTTTATTTTTGCTGAACAATTTGATCATTTGTTCTACAGTTCGAACAGTTTGATCAAAATCAGTTGTTTTTAATTTTTGTTGGACAATTCCATCAATTTTTTGTTCCATTTTCTTTTATCTGTTCAACTGTTTTGTTTTCAAATTGTTTCAGTATTTGCGCCCTCATATAAGAGTTCACCTTTTTTGTTTCACTGGCCACACCTATTCTGGTAAATACTGCTGGTATGCGCGTTCTCGTTTTTTTTGAGATCCAGTTTGCGTTTACTTATCTAATCGAGTTTTTTCTCGCGTTCCACAACTTTGCTCGCAGTCAAGCAAATAATCATAATGCGGACAAACAAAAACTGTCAAACTTTCGAACTTCAGATTGGGAAATAAAACAGTTAGTTCGTCGGTTGAAGAGTGAGGAGAATGACAGCACTGAAAGGTTTTCTCGGAAATTGAATTTAACGAATCTCTCAGGTATTGTCTCACTGTTAGTGAAGAACTATGTGGTTGACTGCAAGCACTTCTGGAGTTCAGATGCCCAACAACTTGAGGGCAGTTTTACGTTGGCAGACGCGGACGACCCAATTTGTAAACGACGCAACAAACTTCACAATTGATATTGATATCAGGAAACGGGAATTTTAGTGTTGAATTTGATTGCAAGGTATTTCATCAGAAACTTATAGCCGTAGCAAATTTTGTTTTGAAATTCGACTTTCAGCCTTGAAATGTGACAATCATCTGACTCCAGTGGTGAAAAAGTATATGGAGTTAGATGAACATAAAGCTGCAGGGCAGTTAACAAAGCAGCCAAAAGTTTATAACAAAAAAGTAAAGTTATAGCGCTTGAATCTTACGAAGAGCTCCGTAGAAATGAGGTTCTCACAATTAAAGCGATCAATTGAAAGCCCGAGAAACTTTGATATTAGAGCAAGAAAATCTGACATAACTTCAGAACAAAAAGTGAGGTAAAAATTGATTTTATATAATGAGGAAATAAGAGTAGGGACAGCAATTCCTATAGTTTTTGAGAAAACAGAAGGCCAACACAAGTTGATCGATCAAAGTTTTTAAGATGACTGAACTGGACCTAAGTTATTCTGACCCAATTTTTGTGGGAACAATTATCTCAAAATTAGTTTGAGCCATAATTGAATTCTAAGTTTTGGGCGTCTGATTAACGACACGTGTGGATCCGGTGAGAGCAAAAATTATTATATTTAGATAGATACCAATTCGAACACAATTAGTTTGAAAAATGTAATCCCATTTTTTTGGTCGATAGTAGAAAAAGACTACCAAATGAGCATGCTCAACACAAAAAAAAGAGTAAGGACCAAAATGGACAAAAGAAAGCCTAAAAGAATCAATTCAATTAATTATGCTTAATCTATATGACCGTATATGACCATAAACAAGTATAATCAGTGAAAAAAAAAACAAAAGGATGCGGCAGTAGGAAAAGATACAGAAGATAAGAGATTCGAAACCTAAATGTTCTGATAAGGATAATGCTAAATGCTTTGACAAGAATAATGTTGAAGGCGATGAGTTTCGATGACACTTTGCAGGCAAATGACGAGTTTTGAAGGCGCCGAGATTTCACGACTACAGGCATTTCTGAATGTAAGGCATTTGTGAAAGCATTTTCTAGGGATAATCATATAACTCTAGGGATGATCACTCTAAGATTTATTAGTTATTTAAAATTAATAGGATTTAAAATTAATTACCAACAAAATGAGCAGCGCTGAATAGTCGCTTTTTCTTGCCGCGTTTAAACAAATTGTTTTGCTTCGAATTTCTCAATTCTTTCTTTACGTGTGAAATTTCTTTACTACTAATTCCAAACTTATGTATTTAACTGAGAGTTCCTTTAACATGGGATCACGTTTTGAGAAAGATATGTATTCCTCGATGCTGGAAAAGATTTCCGACACCAATGTGAGACAAATTTTCGATCAATTATTGACGGATCTGGGCAAAAAAGATGAGATTATTCTAGATCTTGAGAACAAAGTGGATGATTTGGAGCAAAGAGTATCTGCAGAGGAAAGGTATTCTTCTAAGGATTGCCTAATTTTGGAGAACCTGCCAATAGTAAACAATCAGGTACCGTTGTCACATCAGGTATGCGATTTTTTGGCCCAATTTCTTCAGTATAAAACTAGCCCGAGTAATTTTAAAGCCTGTCACTTGCTTGGAACGTGGAAAAATATCAATTATCCCCCAGCTGTGATAGTTAAATTTTTATATTTTGGGAAAAAAGTGAAATCTACAACAGAAAATCTTGGTTGGCTAACATTCGAAACCCGAATAACAACAAACAAGTTTTTCTCAAGGAAAGGCTTCCACCGGCAAACAATACGCTGATGATTTGGGTCTTGTAAATACCAGTCAGAATTGTCAGGTTAAAATGTTTAAAATGGACGACAGAGGAATTTACAAATCTTTTCCCGTTAGTTCGAAAAAGGCGATTGATGATATGAAACACTTAGCGACTAAGAAATCTGACAAATTTCAGTCGAAAACTGGAAAATCTACGGAAAATTATAGTGTATCTGATTATGAAAGAAATACGACACCAATCAGAGCAAATAATATTCAACGGGAGGAGAATATTAAATCTATTCTGAAGCGATTACGTGACTCCCCAGAGCAAGAAGGAGAACAATTATTGGAGCAATTATGCAAAAACAGAAAAACTCTTTCAGAATATGTTGTAAATCCCTACGAGGAAGGTTCATAGTTATTCATACATTCTTGCATGCTCTATGGGGTTGGGATTGATGAAGCATACAAGAATGTTTGAGCGTGGCTTGCAAGTCAGCGCCTAATTTTTTCTGTTTCTTATTTTTGTTGATAAATGAGTAAATTATATTATCGAGAACTCCTAGAGGGGAGACAAGTGGGCGTATTAAATAGCAGTTTTCTTTTTTTCTTGAACATTAGATCTTTGCGATGTCATTATGATGAGTTAAAAATTCTTATTGACGACTTTGAGGTTAAGCCACCAATAATAGCCCTTTGCGAGACATGGCTAACGGACAATGATCCCTTATCAATTTATTCAGTTGAAGGCTACCAACCTATAATAACTACTAACAGAAAAGGTACTCGCGGAGGTGGTTGTGCATTTTTCGTTAGATCGGATTTAAAGGTGTCAAAATT